ACACGATAGCAGTCATTTAGTGCGCATATGTGTAATTAAACCCATGATATCAAAATCTCACTCCAGCCAGGTACCCAAAGTTGGCAACCCTAAAGTTGACATTAGCATTCAGTTGACTTGTAGTCTGGTCCGGTTCACCTGAAGCAGGTAAGGATAAAATCCACACTTTTTTAACTCTCATTTTATTTTACATACTCAACGTGTTCACCAACTGACTTTAGCCGCTAACAGTCTGGCCGCTATGTAGTTTAGGATAAGTGAGTTAGCCAGCTAGTTTAGCTCTGCTTTTCGGTATCAAGAAGCTAACGATAACCATGGTAACCCATGCTGCGCTGCTAGCTAGATTAGCATAATGCTAACTACAAACTATCCTACTTACTGACAAAGTTAACAATAAAGTGACATATGATATAGAGCAATATTTAGTGTAACGTTACTGGTAAAAAACAAGATTAGTCGGATCCTTTCGAAACATGACAAAGCACATAAAGCCATGGTTGTAAGCTAAGTGTATTTAGCAATAGAACAATTAAGATACAAGCAATTTAAAAATGGGCCATGGCAATCAATGAACACAATACTGCATTAAAAAGAACAAAAGCGAGAACAAGCCCCAAAAAAGAAAAATGTTTAAGCCATGTATTAAATGAGTCTTAGCACATTTCAGTTATTGAGGGAGCTTGTTTTACAAAGATGAGTAGCATAGAAACTAATAATTGATTATGACGTATACAATATGTCTTGGCTGTGCCTGTGTCAAACAATTGAATTCAAAATGTAGACAAATGTCACAGTGACTGAGAGACATTTGCAATGCGTGCAGTACTGTTACTTTTAGAGTTTAAGCTCTTTGACATTTGATGACTTACAAACACTTTCTCAGTTTCACTTATACTGTTGTTCCTTTTAGCAGAAGTTGATGGTAAAAGTACTAAAGGGCATTTAAAAATATATTGCTGAGATGAAAAGCATTGTTTCCAGCTTTAGTGCCTGGGGATTTAAATGTCACAATCCAGTCCAAGGTCCATTTCTCTAATCTCTAGGGGTTATATTCTGGCATTTCATAAATGTAAATCTTTGTCAGTTGATTCCCCTTACTCTTGTTGATATATCAACAAGAGTAGGATGTAGATCTTTGTGGTCATCAAGTCTTCACTTTGTTTCATTAAAGTAAAAGCCAAAGGTCAGAGCCAAGTTAGACCATTAACTCAAACATAACAGCTTTGATCTAAAATGATAAAATCCACAATTAAAAAGAGAAATTCTCTGTAGTCCAATATTTGCTCTCAGAAAATGTACACTATCATATGATTAACAGTTGGTTCAGCATGCACATGTGACAACAGATAAAAATCAAGCAAGCCAAAACATAAATACACAGAAAAACCCAATAGAATAAAGGAAGTATATCCTTTCGTAATGAATTAAAGTCAGACGATTGACATTTGGGAATATTGTTACTAACAAGACAGAGGAAGTGATGATGGATGTGTTTTCTCTCGTTAGCACTGCATGCAAACACATCCTTCACATAACAAAAAGAGCTAATTATAGCTAATATCATCTAATGGTGGCGTGCATGAGGCAAGTCTGAGGCACAGGAAGTGTCAGTTTTCACACAATCTGTATTATCTTATCTTAACCTTTAATATCATAACCTCTATAGCCCATATCACATGTTTCGTAAAAAGGTTAATAGAAAGTATTTAATTATAGCTTTCAACACTTGTGAGGAACACTTTGCAAACGTGATAAAAAGTAAATTGAAACATTCATATAATAAAATCTAAACTTTTATATATTATGTAAATATGTGATACACACCACGCCAAACATGTCCTGCACAAATAAACATAATGTTTTTTAAACCCTTTTTATAAGAAAGTGCTGTAGAGTGCTCTCAAAACAGCAACAAAAAGGTTAACACACAGGATTATTTATAGAATTACTAATGCTTATCTCCCCCACATTACCATCAGAAGTGTCTTATCTGCTTTCCATGTTCTATCTTTGAATGTTTGGTCATGCTTTTTTAACTGTCTTATTCTGACTGAACCACACACATAAAAAAAGACATATTTCCGTTTCTCTGTGGGACTAAAAATGTCATCAGGGCCCTGTTAACAATCCGACAAACATTCCCTACAGAACTACAAAGGCAGAAGAGAACAGAGGAGCAAGTGTTGTGGGGAATGTGTGAGCAGGTAGCCAGCCTAGGATACCTGTTGGAGGTGATGTCATCATGCTGCCTGCTCTAAGGCCTGAACTTAAAGTGGCTCTAATGTCCACAGGCCCTGTTAACACGATAAGGTGGGGGGTGAGTGTAGGCCTCACCCACAAGGGAATGTTTGCTAACACGTCATAGGAAGTCAATCCTATTTTTAAAGAATTGGAAACAAAGTCGTTGAATCACATATTAATTAGAGTGTAACAACTTCTAAGCTATTAAGTCAGCTTTTGATCTGCATGAGTGTGTGTTCATGGGTGCATAAGTCAAATCTACCATTTTTACGAGCATGGATTTAAATGTTACTTTGGAGCCACAATGAGGTGGATTTGTGGTTTTCAGTTAATAACCTTACAACTATGGGATGGACCGCCATTTATTTATCTCCCTCTAAACATACATTTGAATACGCTCATCACTTATCATATAGATGTGTAGATCTATCTCAGCTCAACATTTGAAATGTGTCACTTAAACATGGATAGATGCAACAATTGTGGACTATGGAGAATCAAGATTTTTAATGCATATCATGATACATAATAACTTAAAATATGGGTTACATATTGCTTGCTTACAATAACAAGCAATATTATTGAGTTGTATAATATTGTATTATAATATCAGATAGGGGTTTCTCCTGATTGGAGGTTTTCCAGCAATCCATATTCATAGTTGAATAAGGATTGAAAAAACATCAACACTAAGTCCCTCTTCTATTTACCTCACCTCACTCCCCCTATAATGTATTATTATTGTTATTATGTACCTCACCTCCTTCCTTCCCCCTTACTCCACCCCAAACTCCATCCTCCGTAACCCTTGCCTCCGTTCCTAAATTCTTAACTGAATCGCATTTTGGTTACTAAAGTACTTGTATTTATTCATTGTATGTTTAATCAACACTTTCATAAATACAAAATTGTGTTTTTATATTTGTCTAACTGTACACGTTCAATTCCATTTTATATATATTTTTTAATCTGTTCATTTCATACAAGCTGTTCAAAGGGGACTTTATTTGGCAGAAACATGGTGTCTCTCACCTCAGAGTAATAACAAGAGAACATTGATATTATGCCTTAGGTCAGGGGTGTCAAACTCAATTTCATCACGGGCCACATCAGCATTATGGTTGCACTCAAAGGGCCGGTTGTAACTTTAAGACTATATCATTAATTAATATAACTTCATAATTAACTACGTCTGAAAGCAGAAGTCTAGAGCAAATAATTGCAAGTCTCTTCAGTAAGAATGTCACAATATGATTTTAAAAGAAAAGCCACATTCTGGAAAAACATTGATTGTGACATTTTGAAAAAAAAATCTATTTATGAGAAAAAGGCTAATTCTAAGACAAAAGGCATATTTGGACAAAAAAAGTCAAATTCTGAGAAAAAGTCAAATTTGAGATGCATTGTGGGACATGTCGTTTATGGGCAACGTGCTTCTGTAAAGTAGCATGTAACCGTATAATAAACATATTATATTCTTTGCAAGCTCTTGTGGGGCCACATAAAATGAAGTCGCGGGCCGGATTTGGCCCCCGGGCCTTGAGTTTGACACCCCTGCCTTAGGTGATGTGCGACACAAACATTTAAAACCTCACTTAAGTAAAAATGCATAATTATTATCTGCAAAACGTTGGTAAAATCCTGTCAGGGCTTCACTAACAAATAGTTTACTTATCTTGAGAAGTAGGAACATTTCTCAACCCATTAACGGACACTAATCAAGTTAATCAAAACTCACATTTAAAATCACCTAATTATGGTATGGATAGGGATTAGGTTTACCTAGTATGAATTGTACAGTATATCTAAAAAGAAGTCACTAAAGCTGTCAGAAAAACTTAAAACTAAATACATGAAAACTTAATGCAAACAGCCACAGATTGTACTTCGAGGAGCTATAAATATTAACATGCTAACACGCTAAACTAAGATTGTTGACAGAGTAAATGCCTAGTAAATTAGGGTTTAAAATCAAATCTACTTGTAATTGTCACACAAACACAGCTCACACAGTGACATTTAGACTCAGTATAACACTGCATTAAAGCCATACTAGTATAAGGAGCAGTGGCCCAGTGCCGGAGAGCAGGGTTAGGGTCATGTGCCTTGCCTTGCTCAAGGACACTTTGGAAATGCCAAATATCAGCATGGCTGTGTCGGAAAACACTCCATTGCTCCCTCATTTGCATACTTTAAAGTGTAATCAATATTAGACGGTATATTGGGATTTCAGACACTTTATAATAATGTACACTATTGTGTTTCATTGTAGAGTGCATAAGGTCACTGTTTATTTAAAAAGTTGCTCCACTCTGCTTAAGAAAAGCCTCACTAAGTTTAGACAGAAAAACAGACATTGACATTATCACACATTTACATAATATGCATTTAAAACTGAGTCAAATAAAAAGTACAACACTTAGAAAGAGAGAGCATCCAAAGAGTCTGATTTGAAGGCATTTGAGTTGAAATACGTCTGTGGATGTTGGGGAAACAGTGTGACTAATGTTGCACCAAATATGTGGCTTCCTGTTCTGAACCTGTTGCTCCTGTCTGCTGAATGCAATGCTTAATCAAAGTTGTACATTGTACACTCTTAGCCTCATGGCAATGAGATGAGTTACAGCCCTTTTTTAGATGGCAGGTTTTTATTACAATGCTCCTCATGTTTCTCAGGCATCCATGGTATGTCTTAGTAGATTGTGTTAAGTTTTAAAATGATCTATAATATTGGCTGTGAGTGATGGAAATACATGATACATAGAACATGGCACCACCATGTGGTCGACTGTACAAATAAAAAGTCGGTAAATTGACTCAAAGGTTAAAATAATACAAACTTTATTACCCTTCTTCTCCTCATTGAAAGAGAATTATGATATTACACTTCATAAATTACACAAGCAGATAGCAGAAAAAACATTCATGCTCATGGCAGTCACAGTTTATATTACATTTAAAATACGTAAAACCTAATAGCTTAGAAATGACCACCAAACGCCACACAATTTCAAGAGTGAGAACCACCTGGCATACTTGAAAGTAGAGACATTTTAAGGTTAGACTGACACATAATGAAATGTTTGTCCAAAGGTCAAATGGCCTATACATTTGACCTTTTATCTTTACGTTTTCTTTTTTTAATTGGTTGGTTAAATGTGTGGTAAAGCTTTCCCAGTCCGCCTGATGCAGATTTGAGCTTTTTAGTGTTGCATGACTGAATACTATTTCATTCAGTAATAGTTAAATATCACTTGTTGGCCTTAAATTGAGTTTATATCATAAAATATTGAAGGAAAATGCAGGTGATTAACAGCTTCTCTGGATACATTTACATAAAGGCAAGGCAAGGCCTACTTAAAACATACCAGTCTAACCCCAAATGACTCTCTCGTGTATAGTAACACATCCTGAGACCAGCAGTGCTAATGAAGCTGAAAGGCTCCCCAGAAGGTCAACTGGCTGTCTTTCGCAAATTCTGCTGTGATTTCTAAGCTCACACTGTCTCCCTTACTGAGGTTTACAATCTTACCGACCCACACGGAGCCGACTGTCGTTTCCGGAAATGTCCCCTCAACCAGTACAAGTTCACCTCTACCATTCGTGGGATTTCTTTTCAAAGTCACAGATCGCTGTCCCCTCCCAAGGTGCTTCGGCTTCCTGAAGTTGACCTGAGCGTAGATGAAGTAGGTGCTGCTCTTCTTGAAGTGGATGGATTCGTTACTCAGGGAGAGAGGGCAGGAGCGACAGCTGGGGGGTGCTTCTTGCCAGGAGTCATTATGATGAACTGAAAGAGATTTGATTCACAATTCTTGAGTTGCTTAGCTATACAAACATTTTCACCTCACTTATAAAACGTTAGTCTTGAGACCTTTTGGGCTCAGATTGTAGATCTTTTATAAACCAAAGCCCTTTGAAACAGTCACCTCAACGTTTCATCTCAACTTCAATAAAGACATCTGTTAAACAATGTTGATCTTACTATAATGGCTAATTTCCTTCAATTTTGTCAAACAAAGCATCCCCTGACAAACTGTCTGATGTTAGGCTGTAATTATACTGCAGGTTAGCAGAGCCCACATCAGAGCTCCACCTCCGTTTTTTGAGGTTGTCGTGTGGTGGGAGGAACACAATGCATGAGACTGGAAACATGACAGGGCTGCAATGTCTGTCTCAGACGGTGTGCATGCAGAGGAATTGTGTGTAAATGTAGATCTACACTTCATACTCTACTGTTAAGTTGTAGAAGTCGAAAAGGTAGTCAAATAACTTTTAATGTGGAGGCGTGTGGCGCAGTGGATAGAGCGTTGGTGTTCTGATCAAGGGAGCACAGGTTCAAACCCCACTGCAGTCAGCATGTCGTTGTGTCCCTGGGCAAGACACTTCACCTCAAATTGCTCCTGTGGGGATTGCCCACAGTATTGAGTATGTAAGTCGCTTTGGATAAAAGCGTCTAACAAGTGACATGTAATGTAATGTAATGTCCATACAATTCCCGACACAGGTTACATCCTATTTCCAGCTGAGTCCCAACCACTTTAAGGCGAGACACCCCAGGTGAATAGGGTAATTTTTTTAACTTAAAGATATCAGCTAGAAATTTCTCCAGTTAATTACTTACAATAAGGCAATTGTTTTTTGTATTACAAGTTTTCTGAAATAGCATGTTTAAATATGCAAATGAGCCATTATCTCATGAAATATGCGCATATTTTAACACATTTCAGGAACCGAAATCTGAACTTTGGATAAAGCCAGGATCAAAATTATTGTTTCATTTTGTAGTCATATTAGTATCTAAGGCTTTTACAGAAGGGATTTTGGATATCTCTTTGTATCACTCCATAAATCAGAAAATACTGTCAACAGCCCTAAAATATCAATTTTCACCATGTTTTTAGGTATAAAATGTTATATAATTCAGGCTATGAATTATATATGACCAAACCCTTCTGTAAAAGCCTTCATAATATTGATAGGAATATAACTGGAAGGTTTGGTGTATGTAACTGCTACTGAAGTGGAAATTTCGAACTCAGAGTAGGAGAAAAAACTCATTTTGAGAAAACGACCTTTAAAGATTTCAGTGTGTCCTGTTATCTGGATGATAGCTTGCGCATCGACGCACTCCGTGAAGGTATTTCATGTTCGGGGTCATTTGTTTTTTGTATAACCTTGCTTTGTGCAAGTGACAATTGTTGTCGTCTTCTCTGTGAACGTTTTTTTCACCGTTATTTTGCCATTTTCAGATTTAAATTTCTAGCGGAAAGCTAACCAGGAAGTGCTTTAGCACACCACGTGACGCATCTGAACGAATCACGTTGTCAGAAATTGACACCAGCCAATGAGATTTCGTTTCTTGGTTTAAGACCCCTTTGCACTTTCACGATTGGTTGCTGATACAAAGGAAATGACCATATTTGGATCCGATGAGATTGTGCAGGAGAGACGGAGCTTTCAAACGATACCTCTGATGACATGGTGCAAACAACGGTCGCGGTACTTTATGTTACGTTAGAATGCTAACTTTTGGTGAATGTAAGAGAAATCTACAGACGCAAATAGACAAACTATAGTAAAATAAACACTTAAATGTGTATTTTGTACGTTTTCCTTCCAAAAGCCTGAAAGAAAACATGTTATGGAATCAAAATAGCACAAAATCTCAAAATTGACCAGTGCAGGAAAAACGATGTTTTTGCCTGCCGTGTCTCGCCTTAAACAAGAGAAAAATACCAAGACCACAGAAATACAAATACTGTTGTAACTCTGGCAAAACGTTTTTTTATTCACGTAAAACCCAATCACAAGAAGATGATTGAGAAATGTTTCTTTATTAGGGCTTTTTAATCTTACAGGGGCCCTATTATGTTGATTTGTGTGCCTGTAATGTGACATGTCTACATGATTTAATGTTCAAAAAGGTCTTTATTTTTCTCATACTGCCTGTAAAGCAGAACCTCTTTCCACCCTCTGTCTGAAACCAGAGCTCAGTCTGCTCCCTTTGGCGTGACCTTTGGGATTTTAGCCTTTGAAGAACATTTACCTACACAAAAACCTATACAACAAACAACAGGAAAGGGACAACCCCCAAAAGGCAAGAGGGCCCCTTTCATGATGAAATTTGACGGGCCTTAATCTAAATTCCTTACTTAAAAATATCAGTTAAAGGATCCAAATCAAGGGCTACGTTGTTATGATTTACTCTCTGGAGCATTAACTTATCTTCAATCTGCTGTGTCATCCTCTGCTTCCTTTAAAGGCTTCCTACTCATTTCATAATGACTTGCAGCGTCTTTCAGAGAGCGTGTCTGAACTTGTTGAATAGGTATCTGTAGGCGTCAAGTGTGGCAGCTTTTTTGTTATGTAGTAGAAGAACAGTGACAGCAAGAGGGTTCACCAAAAAGGGAGAGTCAGGCCTTGATGTAAAAATACATTTAGAATTTTGGGCAGTGGAGAACTATTCAGGCGATAAACAGCGATGACTCTCTCTCTATTTTTATAAAGCAGCTTTCTGTGTGACCATTGAACGTTTGTGTACAATTGGGGAAGTTCACGCTCTTCAAAGTTTTTGGCACTGATAAAAAAAACCTGACACGGACTATTGATGTTATAGAAAGGTGATTTCTGTCATTGGAAATATATCAGACCAACTTCCCTTTTTTTTTTTACTTGCCCACTTTTTTGACAGAAACCAAAAACGAAACGCGAAAAGGGAGGAATAAGGATTTTGGAATACGTTTGTCACCAAAGAAATGTGTGATTTGTGAGCAAGCTAATATAGAATAAGACCTCTAACAGGAGTAAAGTAGTTACTTAGACTCACCCTATCTTCAGTTAAAAAAAATATATACATGAAAATCTCATAATCATCAAACTCATTAATATACCACACAAGAAGAAGGGATGAAAATAAATCTGAATAAACCACAAGAGGATGTGAACTCACACATGATTAGCTGGATGTAGGAGGGAGTTGATCCTGAAAAACAACATAATTTAGATGTTATTTCCTGATGCAATAACTGTGGAAATGTTCACAGTACATTTAATTGTTTTGAGTTATAGCAATAATATCTATCAGTTTGTTGTAACTTCTTCTCAAAGGTTTGAAATATTCTTTGTGAAAACTTACCGGGTGAAGCCACAATACTGTTGACTGCTAAAAAAATAAAAGTTATCTGTTAAATCCAGCTTCATTCACATTTAGCATGTTTTTATTTGTGTATTGACATAATGATAAAATCTCAAATTCTGCAATAATCTGAGGTTGGTTCAAAAGGTATTTTTTTGAACTGTGAGATTTTGGCACCTACCTGTTGGACCTGTTGGACTGACATTATCTGGTTTCAGTGTAGAGACTTCTTCCTAAGAAATAAAAAACATCATCATCATCATCATCATCATCATCATCATCATCATCATCATCATCATCATCATCATCATCATCATCATCATCATCATCATCCGTGTTTCCCCTTTGGTAATAGAGAATAAAGGTTAAGTGAAAACCATATGTTTTCAAATGATCTATTCCTATTTGCATTTCTATAAACTTGGTGGGAAATGTGCATTTTGTTGATTATCCAATGGGTGTATTGAGTGTTTTCTAACTTTAAAGAATCTAATAAACCAATTAAGGAACATGCTTATAGATCTTGTTACTGCCATCTAGAGGCACATACTGGTAATCTGGAATTACCTCACCTAACTTGTAAAAACAAAGATTGTATACAGACAGAGATAAACCAGGATTTGCTATGTAATTACAAAAATCGAATTGAAAGGCATCTTTTTAAAATTTGATAAAGTTATAATACAATTTACACATAACTTGTGGTTTGTATATGACATCATGAGTGGAATTTCACAAGCACACTGAAGACATGGCTTCACATGTGATGGCATGCAACTACAAAAACAATCACGTGACATATAATCTATAAGAAGCAAACTATGCAGTCTAGCATAGTAGATTTAGATGCTAAATAAACTGTCAGGTTACAGATGACAACTAAATCATACCCATGAGCAGCGAATATAAATTACATTGTTATCTTCTCCTGTGACAGTCAGATGTACACACCTCAGTTAACTTTGGGTGGTTTGAAATGACAAGTGCAGCCATAACCACCATGGCCACAGTGAGGACGCCACACCACACCTGCAGGTACATATGAGAAGACCTCGAATCCATTCTGTGAAACACACACACACACACACACACACACACACACACACACACACACACACACACACACACACACGCACACACACACACACACACACACAACGTGGTATTGGTCTTCATTTCTAACATTCCTTGAAGTTTTATTCTATTTATTCTACTTATGTACAACTATCAGGTACTTGTATTCAACTCAAGAGTCAGTATTTGTATATAATTCTGCACTTCTACATTTCAGAATGAAGTTATGATTAATGAATGACTAATTTAAATTGACAGCTATAGTTGCCAGTTGTTTTTCAGGATTACGGTTTAATATGAAGAAAATAACTTATTAATACATGAATTGTTAAAGATTAAACCAGCTTGTGAACCCTTACAAAGAAGCATTGAGCACTTGTCACATTCAAGACGTGTGTGAGTTGTTAGCAGTCCCACTATTACCGATGCATCAGTGTTAACATCTAACAATGAGATACATAATAATCAATGAATCACAAAGGCAATTCCACACTATAACGGGTACTTTTATGGCAATACTTAAGGAGCAGATGATTGTGTCAGTGTTGACAGAGCTGATTCCTCACTAACCATATTTTGAGTTTGGATTGAAATAAACTGAATGTAGTCTGGTCTCTGATTGTAGATGGGATTGAGTTCCATTGCTGAGCAGCTTTAACAGAAAATGAAGACTGACTGAAATAACTTTTTCTGAGTGGAATAATGCAAACTCAGTAGAATACTTGTCAAACCTTGTAATGGTTATAAAAAAAATAAGTACTTTCTCTAACCTGCCACATGTTTCAGCTGAGCTGTATTTCACACGTCGTATTATGGGTACATGTACCATCAGCTCATAGGATCTAACCTCAGCGTAGTGGGTTTTTTTTGGTCATGCATGTCGGTGAATAGTTTGTGTTTTGGTTATTTATTTGTAATGACCGTGACTGAAACACACTAGAGGCTGTTATCTGAGGCTGCTGAAATACCACTGGTTACCAAGTGGATGTCAATCCAACTCCAGACTTGTATAGCTACATAGCATACTGGTCCAAGCACATTGCTCTGCTATACATTCCACTGTATATGATGTATTATGAGCTGTATGCGTTACACATTGAAAGGATAAGTTGTAAAATAATGACTCAATGTATCTACTGTAAGCTGACAAATAGACTTATAACACATCATTTTGCCTATGCCTGTGTGTTCTGCAGTGGGTGAAAACACTCTTGAAAGGGATATTATCATACAGGACAGTAGTATCTGGATTAATCTAAAGAGTGTGTCCCAAGGTTAAGAACTACTAGGTTAATTATTCATTTAATAAATCCAAATAATGTGATGGCTGTTGATAAATATGTTTGATTCAGATGTTGACCTTTGACCCATTGTGCAAATTAAGCACATTTGACTCTTTTGAGGACATTGGACCAAAATGTCATTATTTCCCTATTTGACCATGGTGAAAATAAAGCAAAGATACTGAGACAATGGCTCAATTTAATAATAAAAGAAAGAATAAATAAATAAATAATAATTATCTTATCTACATACAACTGAATACAAACTAATAAAGACCATTATACTCAAAGATATCTCAGGAATCTAAAACAATACTTTGACAGCGATTTAATAGAGGAATTAAATGCACTCATTAAATCTTGACTCACCTAGTGTGTGTTGAGCTCTCAGAATCCATCTTCATCTGCTCCTCTCTGAGACATGTGTCAGGCTCAAAGTCAAAGTCAAGTCAAAGGCTGCCAGGGTTTTCCCTTTTACATGGGCCATGTTGTGAATATGAAATGGAGTTTTTATTCCCCTCAATAGAGAGAGTTGTGGTTGGACTGAGTGGAGGCTGCGGTGTAGGTGGCTCCACCTTGGGTTGGCAAGGTGAACTGTATGCAGGGAAAAACTGAAAAGTACTGAATAACTGGTGTGACACCTTAATGGTATTCATGGGAAAAAAATGCTGCCTTAAATTCTCCAAAAATAAGAATAACAGTAAAATGGAAAGGAAAACTTTTAAATTGTTAAAAAGTTACATGTTGAATAAAATGTGAAGATGTGTTGTATTTCTGTGACATTCCAATTGTGTAGTGCAGCCCCTAACCTACACATTATTGTAGGTGTGGGTGGTTTTTGATTCCCCACGTTTATAGGTCACTGTCACACATTGACACCCAAACAACTATGACAGGGGCTTTTTCTTCATACTGCATTGATCTGAGTTTGGCTATGATGTGTGATGAGGAAATGCAGTAACAAGTTATGTTGAGTAGGGATGGCTTGATACCACTTTTTCATGTCCAAACCAACAATGCTACCATGATGATCTGCCTTTTTTAAAACAGCTATGGTATTCCCCAAAAGAAAAATAAATAGTTCACATACGTTATTCATTACTGCAGTTTCTTTTCTAGTCTTCGCAAACAGAACATTGGGCAGGAATATGAATGGCCATAAACCATAACAACATTCATAGGGAAATTAAAAGTGCAAGTGGAAATCTGACTATTTGTTTAGAAAACATTGGAAAGATTTTTTAATATTCATCATATAAACTCATGGATATAATTAAACTCAGAATGAACACTCTTACAGTATTTCACATGCAGATATCAGGAGGAGAAATCTTGTTATGAAATCAGTAGTGAAAGTTGTAGTTGGGTTTTTAAAACATTATGAGCCAGAGAGTAAGAGGGTCAATTTTCCATGTCACTTTTTTTTCACAGTTTTTGGTTTCATTCTCCATGCATGGGACATCCCCAACTAACCAGTAAATTTTCTCTAAGATTATGTAAATGTCACCAATTATATCTGGGTCAAGTTCCCACAAATAAACCAACACATTCACACCTACACAAATAGCCTAACAGACAGGTGGGCTAGATGAAGGGTGCTGTCCCTTCTCAAAACAACAAGCCTCCTGGACATCTTGCCTGTTATACTAAAGTGTTTGATGAAAACACTGGTATTAGTTGTTCTTCTTGCGCATGTCCATGAAAGGATACTGGGATATGTCAATGTAGGAATGGCGTTCAAACAAAGATCTGACACAAAATGAATATGTAAGGTCAATGTGGTCAGAAATAAAGAACTGTTTGCCTCGAGACTCAACATATAGAAACCAAAGTTGTTCCTTAGTTAGAGGTGGTGAGTCATTATGTCTAGTATCTCTCCCCAACAAGAACATTTTGTCACTCATTTCAGTCCCACTGATTTTTGTTGTTCCATACATTGAGCCATTGCTGATACAAGCACGTGCTTTAATATGAAACCATGAAAAGAACATCAAGCCCCAACTTTAACATTTCTAATTTCATCAGCATTGGAAAAGCAAGGAAAATAATCTTGAATCAGTTTTGATCTATACATTCAGTTCTATGATGAATTGTCACATGTCGTAATACTGTGGTAGAAATCCAAGGCTCTCATCTTGGCACAAATGAAATAGTATCAATAATGATCTACTAAGTAAATCATGTCATTCATTGCTGTGATACCCGTAAGGGGAAATTAGACTTCCTCTATTTGTCTGCAACTGTTTGGGATCCGGTAGTTCACCTCTGCTGAATGATGAGCTTTGTTTACTGTTACTTCATTTGGAGGTTTGACCTTCAATTTGCAGACTGATGTTTGTGCACATTTTGACACCAGAAGGCTGTTTTCATATTCATCTGCTGAAGAAGGAAGGTTTCATCCTGCTCACCTTGAAACTGACTTTACAATATGTTGGTATAAGCATGAAGCCAATCCCGGCCCAATTTGTAACTTATTCAAGTGTGATGTGGAAACTTCAACATCTTGTGTCCCGCAGTTCAACTTTAAAAAGATATGTCTTTGCATATTAAGTGTAGTCCAAATAAGCTTCACCACGACTAGTTGCTGCAGTGAAATGTTGCTTGGACACGGATGCATTTGTATTAAGCATTTAATAATGTCTTCTATGATTATAGAGTGCTCATGTTTTTCCTTTTTTAGGAGTATTTTACTTTTGATACTTCTGACACTTCTACATCCAACTCACAGATGTAACCTTGCTTTGAGAAAAAAGATTATTAATTTACCCCTTTTAGAAGTGAAGATATGGTCATTTGTTCTGGGAATGTCATTTTCGAGCCTGAGACCTGAAAAACAGGCTCAGGGCTTAACAGGTTAAGTTGTTGTGATGGGCACGTACTGTACATGTAAAGGAGTGATTGCATTGGTATTTTAACTGTGCTTGAGCAATCAGGTGACAAACCAAAACAGTGAGTTGTGACAAAGAATAAGATGGCAAACTGGTCTAACGTGTTAACCAAGCAAAGACAATTAAAGACAAACTAGCCCGAGAAAGTCGATGATGGGATATAAATATATATTTTCAATCTCGCAAATATTTCTGTTACTAAGGGACTGTGCTTTGTTAACACAACACATGTACTCCTGTATACAACAGTTGCAGAGTTGGGTTGGTTCCCCTTTCCCAGAGACAAGACATTTCGTAATCACCTGGAGGAACAGTTGCTGTCCTAACGACAGGAGCATAAAACAAACATATTTCTGCTGATAGCATCCTTCTGTTTGTTCTGAGATACTCATCACTTCCCGTAAGAGAGATGCATTCCCAATATAACAAATCAATAATGTATCAAAATATGACCAATAATGTTATATTATATCATATAATACAGTCCTTATAAACCATATTTTTCTTGGCATTTGTCAGAAAAACATGTAAATATATTTATTTATTTAAATCTGAGTGTGTAAAAACAGAAGAGAGCTTGATTCAAGTTTTGTGAACAGGTTTTTCTGTTCAGCTGCATCATGGTAATTCCCCGGGTTTTTTGGCAGGGTGGTTGTGGGTGGATACAAACCCACAACAGGTGTTTTTGTTTTTTTTCGACTCGAGCTATATCATCTCTGGTTGTTTGTACCGAAAGTGATAAGAATAATAAGTGTATGACAATAAAAACAACACCATGTGGCTTCACTTCTGTGTAAATAAAACAAACACAACTAAATTAAGATATAATTTGATGTTTGTAAAATGCTTTTTATGGCTGCAATTAATGCTTATTTTCATTTATTGACTATTCTGCTGCTAATTTTCTTAATAAATAAATAAATAATTTGTTAATTGTTTTCCAAAAAACAATGGACAATATCCATCTCAGTTTTTTACATTCCAAGGTTAGATCTTTAATGTCTAAAACTATCAATTTAAAAGGTATTTAATTTAATATTTAATGTCTATATGATAAAACCGATAAAACACATAAAAGCAGGACCTTTTCTATATATAAGTACGGAGCCCCTAAAGGTTCATGGAAAAAAAAATATATATCTTGTGCGCACGAGATATTTTCTCGTTCGCACGAGATACTTTCTCGGACTGATTGATTCATGTCACTACTCGTTATAGCTCTAATATTGGTAGTCATTCTTCCTATTGTATAAAGTAAATTAAATACAACATTTCCTCAAGCAATGTATCTCATGCGAACGAGATATTTTCTCGTTCGCACGAGATACTTTCTCGTGCGAACGAGATACTTTCTTGTTCGCACGAGAAAGTTACCGGTGCGCCAAGCAGGAAGTGGAGCACACAGGAGACAACCGTTTCATTGCAGACTGTTATGTTTATGTGGGGAAATGGCAGTGCATATATTATTTAATATCTTCTGAAAACAAATGCCCACACACACACACACACACACACACACACACACACACACACACACACACACACACACACACACACCCTCGCGACCGGACATCTTATTCATAAAACTAATACTATGGCGTAATAATCGGGCAGTTCGATGTGTCTAACCATAAGAAAGTATATCATGCTCACGAGATTCTTTTTTCTTCTTCTCCATGAACCTTTAGGGGCTCCGTATATGAGAGACTAAAACAGCAATTTTATGACATTTTTGCATAACATAATACTTCTAACCAATTATGAAAATGGTTGGTAATTCATTTTCTTTCGGACAGATTGATTCATTTCACTACTCGTTATAGCTCTAATATTGGTAGTCATTCTTCCTATTGTATATACATACAACATTTCCTCAAGCAATGTTTTTATTTTCCTTTATTTGTTTCACCGTTATACAGTAAAAAGATAACATATTTGCATTGTCCTTTAAGATGTCCATGGCTCCTGTAAGACATTGTGTAGAACCAAGAGACAGTTAATTCAATCAACAAAGACAGTACATCATAGAAAGGACAGTGGGAATAAGATGTTATATTCATGCCTACCTGATTGTTAATATTTAGGTGCAAAACTCTGTAAATGGAGACATTCTTGTTAGATTCAAATAATATGTTTAGATTCAAAAGCTTCCTCTTTAATTTGACTTATTTATCTAAACGACAAACCTTTTGCTTGAGGTAGTCTGACACTTGCAGACACATTATGACAAGCCAGGTTATTCAGAAACGCTTTCACCACCTCATGATTGACGTCACTCTGCCGCGCTGCGTAGAAAGCAAACAAGATAAGACAAGATAAGATGGACCATTATTAATCCCCGTGTTGAAATTCAGTAGTTGTCAGCCCACTGCAAATGTGTTGGTGCAGTGGGCTGACAGTCTACCTAAGACCACTCACCTAGCAGCAAATGTAGAAAAATTCACACTATTTTCCAAAATAATACTCTGAACATAATACTAATATATATAATACTCAATACTGAATGTGCCCTCTGGTGATCAACAAGGCTTATCTTATCTTTGAAGGACCGTTCAAAAAACAGATTATGCAGGACAAGCTGTTTTTTGCAAATGTCATGGGTTTGTAACTTTAGTATTCGTTAATAGTATGGGAGAAGGCTAAAATTGGTGTTATAATAACTTAAAGAGTAGTCTTACTGTTGGGAAAATACTGAATGTGCTCTTCCAATATCAGAGTAGCACATGATAACAAAGGCCCTATATATAAGGCTATAAGGCTATAAGGCTATAAGGATATAAGGCTATATATAAGGATATAAGGATATAAGGCTCTCCCTCGCCCTCCCTTCGGCAAATCAGACCATATCTCACTACTGTTGTTGCCTGCGTACAAGCAGAAACTTAAAAGGGACAGACCGATAACAAGGACAGTACAACGATGGAGCGAGGAGTCAGATTCAGCACTGCAGGATTGCTTTGCATCTACGGATTGGAGTGTGTTTGAGGACAATAACATCAACACACACACGGACACTGTCATCTGCTACATTGGGAAATGCATCGATGACGTGGTACCGAAGGTTTCTGTACGGACATTCCCAAATCAAAAGCCCTGGGTAAACGGTGAGGTGCGCGGCAAACTGAAAGCGCGCACTCTCGCGCACACAGCGGGAGATTTGGAGGAGTACAGGAAGTCTAGGTATGATCTCCGGAGAGCAATTAAAAATGCAAAGAGACAGTACAAAGACAAGGTGGAATCTGACTTCAAAGGCTGTAACACTAGGAATATGTGGGCGGGACTAAGGACAATGACTGACTACAAAGGAGCAGTGGGGGGTGCTGCGGGAGTGTCTGCGTGCGCATCTCTCCCAGATGAGCTAAACATTTTTTTTTGCACGCTTTGAGAGCAGCCAGGCTGTGGAGGTACAGAGGGACCAGGAGCTACACTGCCCTTTTGTTTTAAATAGGGCAGATGTGTGTAAATCATTTAAAAGGGTTAACCCACACAAGGCTCCTGGACCTGATGGCATCCCTGGCCGTGTTCTCAGGGTGTGTGCAGTTCAGCTGGCAGAGGTGTTCACAGACATCTTCAACAGGTCCCTGCTGCAGTCTGTAGTCCCCACATGTCTTAAACACTCCACCATCATTCCTGTCCCCAAAAAGACAATCATCACCTGCCCCAACGACTACCGCCCAGTAGCACTCACCTCCATCATAATGAAGTGCTTTGAGCGGTTAGTCAAATTATTCATCACCTCCTCCCTCCCTGAATCTCTGGACCCCCTGCAGTTTGCCTACAGAGCAAACAGGTCCACAGACGACGCCATAGCCCTCACCCTCCACACTGCCCTCTCACACCTGGACCCGAAGAACAGGAACACATATGTGAGAATGCTGTTCATTGACTACAGTTCAGCATTCAACACCATTGTGCCCTCCAAGCTGGCCATCAAGCTCAGAGACCTCGGGCTCAACAGCGCCCTCTGTGACTGGATCCTGAACTTCCTGACGGGCAGACCCCAGGCAGTGCGGGTGGGAAATATCACATCCTCCACCCTGATTCTCAACACCAGTGCCCCTCAAGGCTGCGTGCTCAGCCCTCTCCTCTACTCCCTGTTCACCCACGACTGCGTGGCCACACACAGCTCCAACACCATCGTGAAGTTTGCTGATGACACGACCGTCATCGGCCAGATCACAGACGATGACGAGACGGCGTACAGAGAGGAGGTCGAAAACCTGACATCTTGGTGCCAGGAGAACAACCTCCATCTCAACATCAGCAAACAAAGGAGCTGATTGTGGACTACAGGAAGCAGCAGGGAGAGGGACACGCCCCCATCGCCATCAATGGGACTACGGTGGAGAGAGTCAAAAGCTTCAGGTTCCTTGGGGTCCACATCACTGAGGACCTGACATGGTCTCTTCACACCACCACCATCACCAAGAAAGCTCGACAGCGGCTCTTCTTCCTCCGCAGGTTGAGGAGGTTCAAAATGGATTCCAGGATACTCTGCAACTTCTACAGGTGCACGATAGAGAGTATCCTCACTGGCAGCATGACGGCCTGGTACGGCAGCTGCACCGACCTCGATCGTAAGGCTTTACAGAGGGTGGTGAAAACTGCACAGCACATCACCAGGACGGAGCTGCCATCCATGGAGGACCTTTACTCCCAGCGGCTCAGGAAGAAATCACTACGGATTATCAAAGACCCCCATCACCCCAGCCACAAACTGTTCTTTCTGTTGCCGTCTGGCAGACGTTACCGCAGCATCCTGGCAAGGACAAGAAGATTCGGAGACAGTTTCTTCACGCGGGCAGTGAGACTGTTAAAAAATTGAACTGTTGAAACAACTTCAAACATTCAACTGCTACTCAGTAGTATGTATCTAATACCTAATATATATATATCATTCCAATAACTTGTATATAGACTCATACTGCACTATTCCACATCATAACTTTATTTCATTTTTATAACTATTATTATTTTTGTATTGCTCATGCTCTTATTGTTATTATGTTATGTTATTATGTTGCATTGTTGGAGAAGCCTGTGACATAAGATTTTCAACTGCATAATTACTCTGTAGCTATGTCAGATTGACAATAAAGAACCTTGAACCTTGAACCTTGAATGTAGCTGTGTACGTAACAGGATGTAGCCCACGCAGCCCTGTATGTGATGACTACTTCCATTCTTGCAAGAATAATAAATACATGTATCCTGATATTGAAAACTAAGCCGGTGACGAGTGATATTTTCTGAACACTTACTATAGAGCAAGTATCTGTTGAGGGAGTCTTCTGAGTCCGTCTCCTTTAGAGGTGGTTCTACTTCCTGGATCATGATGCACTCGGGGCAGTTGGCCCACTTGCCACTCCAGAGGAGGGTCCTTCGCCTCGGCAATCCTGCATCAAAACAAGAAGACAGCGGGGCAACAACTGTGATCAGTGTGAACAAAAAATGTAGAAAAGTTTGGATGAATTGAAGTAAATGAGGGCTTAACAATAGCAAACGTATGAATCCGTTAACAACCTCTCGCTGGTTTGAGGTGACTCAACACAATTGCTACATTGGCTATGTACAAGACGCTTGGACATGTTTAAAAAACATAGATATAGATTATGAATGCTTCAAACATCTTGACCTATTTACAAGACTCATTTATCCAGTAGTATGCTCACAACTTCCCAAACCAAAATTGCTTGTCCACTCAAAACGTACTATTAAAAACCCCAGGGTGCGTTTCTTTGGGTTTTCAATTTGGGGGATGGAGTCTTAAGGTGGTTCTTGTTTTATTACTTGATCTTGAGGCTCTAAACAAATACTACAAACGGGAAAAAGCTTCTTGTTGTAATTTGTGGTGCTGAGTTACGCAATGTCTCTCTTTGTGCGTAAGTTATACATATGTTGAATTATATTTTTTTCTACGAAAGGCCAGAATGTAGTTTACCATAACAATGAAACATTTTGTAAATAGTCCTAAGGCCTTGGCAAGTTAAACTTTGTAACCAGTCAGGATGGAGAAAAGGATTTAAATCTCTTTTTCCCATACTACTTGTTCTACAATGAAAACAGCAATATTTAAGAATTAGACTTGACAAGTTTGTTACAGTTGCTTTTACAGAAACACTCAGGGGTTTTCCCCCCCTGCTAAGAATAAAAGAAAAAAATGAAATCCCTTTAATGCTTTGGGAGGAAGTTGTATTTATTTTAACATTGGCATGAAATTCCCTTGTGCAATGCCTCTTCTGTCTCCAGGGCCTGTACCTGTTGATCCCTTCAGTTCTCTGTGCGTGAGTGTTTTGATCTGTATGGTTTGAATCTGCGAATACAAATGGGGCTTTTACCTTCCAGTACAACATCATCTCTCCCAGGAAGTATATGATAGGTCCAGGTCTGTGTTATGCAATCATCTCCTCTAAAAGAAGATTTGAAAAACAAATACACCTTAAGCATGTAGCAGATTTATATTTCATCACAAAATGACATCATAAGAGATAAAGTACTTTCATTTTTGAAACACACTTTCACATCTGTAACAGTTTCACTGCGTCACTTCCCTAAGTCTGGTATCTATTTATGATGTGTTGTTCTATTCTGTCCTGTTGTAAATCAGTTTCACCTCCTTATAGTTGTAATGCTAATATTCTTTCTTCATTTCATACTAGTTTTAGAAAAATAAGTATTTGATCTCATGTTCACATGATGGGTTGAGAAACATCTTCTTGTTTTTCTTGATATTTATTCACTATAAGCTAATGTGTGTATTTGCTGCCTCACGTGCGCATCTGTCCGGTCACCAGCAGTGTGTCATTGACCGGCTCCTCCATGGTGATCCACATGTTGTCCAGTTCTTTGAACCCCTCGATGTCAGCCTCTCTCTGACTGACTGCTGCTTTAAAGTACCATTTCCCCAGAAACTGAAAGAGAAGGAGACACAGAAGTTGACAGTGTGGGTTGACAGAAATGTAACCTATTTAAAGGTGTAAACCAACAATGCGAAAAAACAAGATACGACTTATGAAAGAAAAGAGGGGGAGGAAAGACTCTCTGTTGGACCACATTCTGAATTTATCTTAGTGATGCATCTGCAGAAAATCCCATTGCTTTAATTATTCAATAATTCACTCAGGTTGTTGAAATCTTTAAACGTTTCTGAATTTGAGGTGGGGAAGAAATGAAGGCCTTAACGTTTTTTGAAAAGAGACATTTATAAACAAGGGTTATTGAAAGTGCTCCATCACTAAACTTAAAAAAAAAAAATTGCTGTGCAGTTTATGAAAAGGAGTGAGCCGTCACAGTAACACAGCAAAATTGAAAGGGTTCAAACATTCAAGCCTTTTAAAAAATGTGTTCAGTGATCCTTTGTACATTTGTAATACAAATTAACCCTGATCCATGTCTCAAACTATTAATTGGGCCTGGAAAGTCCTTGAATTAGATTTTTAAGGTGGGTAAACCATTTCACAAAAATCTGAAGACTAACATTAAATTAGCTTACATGTGTCCCAAATTACAATTGTTCTCTTAAAAATGAGTTTCCTTGGATAGTCATCCATACACAAAGGCATTGACATACATCAAATGCTTTACCTTTTTCATAATAACCTATGTCATATGAGTAGCTATTACACTTTGATAAACAGAATATCTATATATTTTGTTTCTCACCTGCTGATGGTCGACAGTGTTGGCAGGCAACTGTTCAGGAACCAAACAAGGAACAAAGGCCTGATACAACAAGCCATATAAACACAGAACTGATAATACTGTAGCCAACATAACTGCAAATCAGAGTTTATACTTGACAATCAACCCGATCAGAATGTCTGTTTTTCCTCAGGGCACAATTTATTTGTGCCAACATGTCTAAAAGGAGAGTGGGTGTAGGTAAATGATTAAACATGCAGGGCCGTACTACCCCTGATCTTCAGAAGAAGCAATATGTGGATGAAATATGGCCCGTCTCTGTCCCTCTGGCTTTAGGTGAAACACATGTATAGTCAAATGAATAATTATTTCACTAAGCAAGCTTGTTTTCAAATATCCTTAAAACTCTCCACAAAGACTAAGTCACCGTCATATTCAGGAGGAAGCGATTTCTTTTATATCACTTCTAAAAAAGCTGTAAATTATAGAAAGTGTATGAGTATTGACACCACCATGCTACAACCTCATGTATCCTTTTCGAAATATCAACAAGAAAAAACATTGTTAACTTGTTTGTTTGAGAATGTCCTGAATAAATAAGTCTGACTGTCGACATACATCTACTAGGAATCATTAACTACTTGTTCGAAGGCGAAGCCAACTGTGGTTTTTATCACCTTGTTTTTCTGTCCTTATCAGGTTTTGAGAAACAGAATTGCTGACATTGTTTTACTTCTGAAAATTCATTATTTTGGTCCATTAAATGTATGTTTTGATTCAAACTACTTGCTCATCTCTAATATAAGTTATCTCGATGTAAACTTATATCTGAGATGATGTTTCACTGTAGTTTTACAAATACTTCCACCAGGTGGTGTCAAACAACTAGCTTGTCTACACAGATTACACCTGAAGAAACACATTTGAATATCAACAGCTTCCTACATCAAATCCACTGATCAACAAATGTCCACTAGACATGATTTTATCTAAATTAATCATGTGTTTTTTATTAATGAATATCAGTCTACTGTATTACAATTTATGTTTCATTGCAATCTGTTCATTACTTCTAGGTCTTGCACAATTAAATAGAAAAATATGTTTACTTAAAGAGCTGTTCTATTAGAAGGATTATGTTGTGCTTGTTTGTTCACTTGTTGATTACCAGTTTGCAAACTTTGAATTTAATGTCATCATACTAGTTCATAAGTGTGGATGTGATGCATTTATGGTTAGACAGGAAAATGAATGACACATTATTAAAGGCCTTGTCGGGTTCCTGTTTTTGAATATGACATGTGTTTGGTTGCCCTTTGATTCTACAGTGACATTTCAAGCATGTTATCTAGATAAGAGAAGTAGCACAAAAAAAACACACCAAATCTTAAAGGTTTTTCTTATTTTTTTATTCATAATATTATTGATGAAGTATGTGCCACCTAGAGTTAATTCTAAGTGTTTAAACCAGAGTGATATTGAATGTAGTTAGACACAGTTTTTCTGTCTTAAATAAAATAAAGGTGGAGAGGAAGGCATGAAAAGTCAGAGGCTGGGTAAATAATGTTTTATTAAATATAAATCCATTCTCGTGTGAGTCTGTGAATACTGGAAGGTTAGATGTAACCTAAAAACTAATTGCAGATAATATGTTCTAAAGTAGGCCGTTCTCAGTGCATTTACCTTATGTCAGAGAGGGATTTGTAAATTAAGATTTACCTTTAAACATTTCACTCAATAATGATTAACTGCATTTTCAATGTTGGCCTTTAGTAGAACACAAACGTATCTAAATGCTACAACAGATTTGGTTCTAATATTTATTTTCATAAATGGATTAATTCATTCATTTCCTGGCCCTCTGTATATTAGATCAGTGGCACAGGGTCGATGCTGGGCATGTGCAGTGGCTTGTTGTTCCCCCCTTGCAGATGGCATGTCAAATCCATCTAGGATTCCCCCTTCAGCACTGACACCAGCTCTCCACTCTCCTTCAGCTCCTTCAGTATGTCCAAACCTCCGATCAGTTCTCCTTTCACGTAGAGTTGGGGGTAGGTTGGCCAGTTAGAATAGGTCTTGAGCCCCTGACGCACCTCTTCATCCTGCAGAATATCAAATGTGTTATAATCTACCCCGGTGTCGTTCATAAGCTCCAGTGTCTGCCTGCTGAAGCCACATTTTGCAGCCTCCTTGTTGCCCTTCATGAACACCATGACTGGGCTCTGGTTGATGATGATTTTCAGACGGTGCTCCAGGGTGACAGCCTTTGGACAGGTGTTCTCCAGCTCTCCAGACTCAGCCAGCTCCTTCACTATATCCAGCCCTCCGACCAACTCTCCATTCGCATACAGTTGAGGGTAGGTGGGCCAGTTGGAGTAGGTCTTCAGCTCTTGTCGGACCTCCTCGTCGGAAAGGATGTCGAAGGTGCTGAACTGGATGTTGTGCTCCTTCAGCAGGCCCACTATCTGTCGGCTGAATCCGCAGCGGGGCTCCTGCGAGGATCCTTTAATGAAGAGCATGCAGGGCGCCGCGTTGATCAGCTTCTTCAGCCGCTGGTTCAGGTCCGTGGTGCCGCTTTCCACCCCTGCAGCAGCACTTCCGGCAACTGCCAGGCGTTCTACCTTCTTGGTCAGCTCCGGAGCATGGGCACCGTCCAGGCGGTCTACTTTCTCCCCTCCCTTGAAGAAAAGGAAAGTGGGCACAGAAGCGATTTCATACTTCTCTGACACCTCCGGGACCGCCTCTGCCTCCAGCTTCACAAACGTGGTGTGCGTGTGTTCCTTCGCCAGCACGGCCATCACTTCGTTCATTTGGCCGCACTGAGGAGCCCATGCTGCCTGGAAGTGCACTACAGTCAGGCATTTTCCAGCTTTGGCTAAGATATCCTTAAACTGCTGATTTGTTGTCGCCTCCACGAGATTCGCCATTTTTCCTTCCTATTTGTTGCGCTTCCGGTGTCGCCCCAACGTCACATCCGTGCAGCCTGGTAGCTTCTGGCAAGTACCAGAGCTTGTACTCGGAAGTCATTTGCATGTTATTTGGTGATAAGAAACAGCTGCATACACTGGATAAGTTGAAAGGATAGTGTGTCTTAAAAGGTAACCGTTATACATCAGACCACGGTCTTCATGAAAAGAACATATGTGATCGTCTCTGGTGTATGTTTGTGTTAATGTTTGGCGTAGTTAGCATTAGCTTAGCCTCCTTTCTAACGCTGGCCATAGTTAGCTTCGTTGCCAACGTTTCTAGGTTAAGCTATGCTAATCCTGCTACCAAGCCGATGCTAACTAACGGCAGCTACTAACGGTGTTTGTAATGACTGTTGGCGTTACATGTCACTGTTGAATTGGGGCTGAAATGTAAAAAACAGTGTCGTTGACAGGCTTCGCGGGATACATACAACCTACGCTAACTTAGCTAGCGTTACCGTAAGAGCTGATGTTTAACTAACATTATTATGCTAGCTAGCAAGTAAACTTAGCTAACGTTAGCTGCTAAGCCTCTGCGGTTTAGTACTACAATTAGACATGGCTTAAGTTACTTAAACAAATGTGTATGTGTTTGGTGTTATTATAACTGATATTAAGAGAGCAACAATTTGCCAGTTTTCGTAAAATTGTTTGCTGTGGTGTAAAGTAACTAAGTAGATTTACTCAAGTACTCTATTTAAGTACCATTTTGAGGTACTTGTACTTTGCTTGAGTATTTCAATGTTTAGCTACTATGTACTTCTTCCCTACTACATTTCCGAGGTAAATCGTGTACTTTTACTCCTCTTCATTAATGTAATACCTGTAGTTACTTTGCAGATTTGGATCAACGATTTGAATTATAATCAGCACCCAAATAAGACTTTAATTTTGATTGCAGGACTTTTACATGTTAGAGTATTCCTACACTCTGGTATTTCGACTTTTACTTAAGTGCAATATCTGAGTTTTTTCCTACTCTGATTGTTTGTGTATATACATGTTTGGTATTTGTAGAAGCCTGCTGATCATTTGTATTGCTTGGTTAGTCGTGTATGATGTAGTGACTAGTTGTTCAGGCTGTTAAATGTTTCTAATGTCAAAGAGGTCTTTCATCTAGTTGTTTTGACCAAGAGTTTAGACAAATCCTCAGACATTATATTTACAAAGACTTGTATGAATTATAAGACATGTAGAGGTTATTATACACATGTTTAAATAGTAACATTAAGCAGGCAAGCTAAACTTTAAAAAAAAAAAAAAAAAATCTTTTCAAAGTGAATTGAACGATTCAACAATAATACTTTTTGATACATTTTTCTGTCGATTAATCAGTAATCAGCTATAGTCACACAACACATTTTATTCTTTGAATTAGTGCCAAAACTGTTTGTGGATTATTCAAAATGTCAACCAATCTCACCAAAATGAAAAAATATCATCAATCTTCTTAGCGATTCACATTTGCTGCCTTTTCTCTAACCCTAATTTTGGTATCTTTGGTCTTTGAAATAATAGGTGAAAAAACAATGTTGATCAAAAATACAGACTAATTGGGAATGAAAATAACTTTTTTTACTGTTGTAGAATGACTTGTTAAAAATAATCATAACAATATGACTATTTGACTGACTAATTCATTTTTCAACTGTAACATGTCCTCCCTATTCTTAGTCACAATTCTTTAAAAACAGATTAATGGGGGTTGTCATAAAGTATTGTTAAGACATGACACACTATTGTATGCTACAGGAACACCATGGAGGAACAAACTGCAGACATAGAGGTGACAGTCAAAACACTCGACTCCCAAAGCAGAACCTACACCGTTGGTGCTCAGGTAAGTTATTCTGTTCCTGTTGCAAACTCTGGAATGAATTCTCGTTTTTTTTGTCAGTGATTGCGGAAGTCTGACTCAAGTGTGTACCATGTTCTTATAGTTGACAGTGAAAGAGTTTAAGGAGCACATTGCCCCCTCAGTGGGTATCCCTGTGGACAAACAGAGGCTGATCTACCAGGGCAGAGTCTTACAGGAGATACTGACTTTGGCAGACTACAGTAAGTCAACGGGTTCTGTGCATTTTGTTTTATTGTGTCGGTCAATATTCATATACTATTCTCCAAGTTATTGGATGCAATTCAGAATTCACCTAGACATTCTCTGGTGTCTTGAAACAAGTTGAAGTCAACCCACCATCATGTATGTACAGATAAACCATATGTCTCTGTTGTTTACCCAGATGTGGATGGCAAGGTGATACATCTGGTGGAGCGTGCGCCCCCTCCACCCTCCCAGCCTGGCTCAGGGTCCGGAGGCACTTCAGCCGACAGCGGACCCTCCTCTTCCTCCCAGGGATCGTCACAAGGGCCTCCACATGATCGCAATGCTAACAGCTACGTGATGCTTGGCACCTTCAACCTTCCTGTGAACATCATGGACCCCCAGCAGATACAGGTAGGTCTGCCTTGTCACTTGGTAAGGGTTTTTAGGGCACTAAAGGGGAATAACATCTATTCCATACATCAAAGTGTGTTTACAAAAGTGAAAAGCCTTTTGTGGTTCCAGAGGAGTTAGTATAAGTGAGCTTACAAGACCTCTGTAGCACTCTCCATTTTTCAATTTTCCTGCAAGAGTTCCACACTACTATTTTAATATACATATTATTTAAATATGTATCATAATGCTGTATTTTCAACAAATATTGTATATATTCCACGATAGAACAATTACTAAGTCAAATGTTCTCCTGGTGAGCTCCCAATGATTTCTGACAAAAACATGAACAACTTGAAAAGCAGACATGCTTATTTAATTGATAATTATGTATTTGATTAATGTTGTCCAGCCATTATGTTTAATATCATCTCAGAAATTGGTCTTGCATCTCAAGTGTTGTTTACGAAGGTGGTTCTTCTTGTTTAGATGTCTGTTCAGCAGATGGTGTCTGGTATGGGAGAGAATGCCAGGAATGCCAGAGTCACAACCAGCACTGGGGTAAGATGCCAAATGACAGCATACAAACCAAAATGACATAATCCTGTGTTTTGTTTATTTATACCCTCTTCTATTTCAGAGCAATGGGTCCGTGAATGTGCACATTGATATGGACCAGCCTGTGCAGAGTGAGCCTCGGCTGAGGCTGGTGCTGGCCGAGAACCTGCTGAGGGACATTAATGATGTCATCCAAAGGATGGAGGTGAGAACTCAACATTCACATTAGTTAAATAGCAAAGCTCCAGAGAAATCTTATTAATAAAAATTGCTTTCCTTTTTTCAGAGTCGCCCGAGCGACTCATCCACTCAAACAGAGACGGCTTCTGCTGCTGCTGCGCCTCCTCCTCCATCATCCTCATCCACCACCTCTACTCCCTCCCCCTCTGCCCAGCCCATGGACACCTCCCCACCTCCAACAACTCCCCCACCTCCACCCACCACTTCAGCACCATCTGAGGGACCAGCCCCCCAACCTGGACCACAGTGAGACATCCTTTCTCTCTCCCAGATTCACATACAAATCATTCAGCATAGAAACAATGGATATCATTTCCTGAACTGCAGGAGCCATAACTTCTTATAATCGTTTTATTGAAACAAAAGTTGTTGTTTCTGTCTATTTATAGTATATTGCTTTCAATATATAAAGTAATGCTGTTTATATTGTTCTTTTTGATTGTAATCAGCTCTGCACTCTTCTCTCCCGCTAGTCACCCCAGCCCAGCTGAGTTGGCGGAGATGTTGTCTGAGCTGCGCAGGGTGGAGGAGAGACTGCAGCCTTTCATTCAGAGAGCTCACACCATCCTGGAGACGGCCACCAACGCAGAATACAACAACAATACAGTAAGATTCAAACAGCCAAATAATAATATATAATCTTTAGTATACTATTGCATTTCAAAGAGAGGCCTGGATATCCATATTGCTAATTCATGGTAGTTCAAGGAAAGAAACAACTTTAATATAAAGTTATTATTTTGCCATTATTTTGTATTAATAGGATTATAACAAATGCTGTTTTTGAAGGACTAAACTTCGAGTTGCTTGTAGGTAGGTGGGTGGGTTTGTTATCTTTAAATAGAGCCAGGCTAACTGGTTCCCTTTGTTTCCAGTCTTTGTGCTAAGCTAAACAGCTGCTGATGTTATATCATATGACAAGAAAAAGGAACCAATCTTTGTTTGTTTGTTATATAATTAAGATGTGGCCTAAAATGGTTTGTCTTCTGTGACAGGAAAGAGAGGAGGACCAGCGCACTCTCATCATGACGTGGGAGTGTCTCCGTCTCCTTGGTAACGCCCTTGTGGCTCTCAGTGACCTGCGATTGAACCTCATGAACCCTGTGCCCCGCCACCTGCATGTGGTCCGGCCATTTTCCCACTATGCCACCCCAGTCAATATGCCTGGAGCCGTGCACCACCACATCCCTGTGCAAGTAAGTGATATTAAGCCCATGTTATTATTCATACTTCATTTTAATGTTATGAGACTGACTGTGTTTGCATCGTCACCGACAGATGAACCTGGGTGCCACAGTGACTGCTGCGAGTAACAGCACTGACGGACAGGCACCGCCCACCCAGCCTGGCAGCCAATCGGAGCAGGCAGGTCCTGGACAAACCCCTCCCTCTCAGTCTTCCTCGTCCAATCAGCAGGCTGGACCGGGACATGCTGGCGCCCGTGTCATCAGGATCAGCCACCAGGCAGTCCCGGTGGTCATGATGCAGATGAACGCGGATGGTGAGTTGTCCCCTACCCGCCACTGATTGAAAAGTGTTTGTGTGTGTTATTGCTGGGCAGCAGTGCGTTGGAGTTACATCATTGCTCAAACCACACACTGCTGCCACTATCAGAGTGACATGAAGAGAGGAACATTGATCGCATCTGATTTACAGTATTTTTTTCATGATGGATCTGTTATTTCAAAAGCTCTCCTGTAAAAGAGAGTACTGGTAGTATTGTACAAATAGTTCAAACTTATTTTTTTGTGTATTTGCAGG